GACACCCCTCAGATACCCCTGCCTCCTTGTTGTTCAGTCTCTTTCCCAGTGTTGTCCACCAGCTTTCCAAATCCTCTCGGTGATGAAAATTCCCCCGGGGCAGAAACTGGAAAAGATCCGTTGATTTTGAAATCCTGGGAGAGGGAGGGGAAGGAAAAGCTGAGAAGCCTGGAAGCCGGGCCACCTGGCTGGCCTTCCTGATGTGAAGGTGTGGGCAGGCTCCGGCTCAGGGATGTCATTTTCTGTTCCACAAGACGGATCTGGGCGGCCACCTCTCTTCTCCCTCTCCCTCTCCTCTCTCCCCCACTCTCCTTTCTCCTCTCTCTCTCTGTCTCTCTCTTCCTCTCCTCTCTCTCTCTTTCTCTTTCTTCTCTCTCTCTCCTCTCCTCTCCTCCCTTCTTCTTCTTCTTCTTCTTCTTCTTCTTCTTCTTCTTCTTCTTCTTCTTCTTCTTCTTCTTCTTCTTCTTCTTCTTCTTCTTCTTCTTCTTCTTCTTCTTCTTCTTCTTCTTCTTCTTCTTCTTCTTCTTCTTCTTCTTCTTCTTCTTCTTCTTCTTCTTCTTCTTCTTCTTCTTCTTCTTCTTCTTCTTCTTCTTCTTCTTCTTCTTCTTCTTCTTCTTCTTCTTCTTCTTCTTCTTCTTCTTCTTCTTCTTCTTCTTCTTCTTCTTCTTCTTCTTCTTCTTCTTCTTCTTCTTCTTCTTCTTCTTCTTCTTCTTCTTCTTCTTCTTCTTCTTCTTCTTCTTCTTCTTCTTCTTCTTCTTCTTCTTCTTCTTCTTCTTCTTCTTCTTCTTCTTCTTCTTCTTCTTCTTCTTCTTCTTCTTCTTCTTCTTCTTCTTCTTCTTCTTCTTCTTCTTCTTCTTCTTCTTCTTCTTCTTCTTCTTCTTCTTCTTCTTCTTCTTCTTCTTCTTCTTCTTCTTCTTCTTCTTCTTCTTCTTCTTCTTCTTCTTCTTCTTCTTCTTCTTCTTCTTCTTCTTCTTCTTCTTCTTCTTCTTCTTCTTCTTCTTCTTCTTCTTCTTCTTCTTCTTCTTCTTCTTCTTCTTCTTCTTCTTCTTCTTCTTCTTCTTCTTCTTCTTCTTCTTCTTCTTCTTCTTCTTCTTCTTCTTCTTCTTCTTCTTCTTCTTCTTCTTCTTCTTCTTCTTCTTCTTCTTCTTCTTCTTCTTCTTCTTCTTCTTCTTCTTCTTCTTCTTCTTCTTCTTCTTCTTCTTCTTCTTCTTCTTCTTCTTCTTCTTCTTCTTCTTCTTCTTCTTCTTCTTCTTCTTCTTCTTCTTCTTCTTCTTCTTCTTCTTCTTCTTCTTCTTCTCCTTCTCCTTCTCCTTCTCCTTCTCCTTCTCCTTCTCCTTCTCCTTCTCCTTCTCCTTCTCCTTCTCCTTCTCCTTCTCCTTCTCCTTCTCCTTCTCCTTCTCCTTCTCCTTCTCCTTCTCCTTCTCCTTCTCCTTCTCCTTCTCCTTCTCCTTCTCCTTCTCCTTCTCCTTCTCCTTCTCCTTCTCCTTCTCCTTCTCCTTCTCCTTCTCCTTCTCCTTCTCCTTCTCCTTCTCCTTCTCCTTCTCCTTCTCCTTCTCCTTCTCCTTCTCCTTCTCCTTCTCCTTCTCCTTCTCCTTCTCCTTCTCGATGGTTGCAATATCAAAACATTTCTATATGTGACACGGCACCAGAGGTAAGTTAGGGTTTTTCAAAATGCTGACACGCCGAGCTCAAAAGGTTCGCCATCACTGCCTTAGACTGAGGTTGAGGGAAGTAATTGCTATGTTTTCTGTTAAAAACAAAAACAAACAAACAAACCCTGGCTGGGTTGCTCGGTTGGTTAGAGCATCCTCCGATACGCCAAGATAGAGGGTTTCATCCCAAATCAGGGCACAGACCAGCGTCAACCAATGAAGAAATAAGAAAGTGGAACAATGAATGCTTCTCTCTGTAAAATCAAACGTTTTTGTTTCTTTTTTTTGGTAAAATCCATTAAAAAAACACATTTCAAAATGAAAACAAAACAAAACAAAAACACCTACCATTAAAAAAAAATAATGGCCGGCGTGGCTCAGTGGTTGAGCGTCAGCCTAGGAACCAGGAGGTCACGGTTCCATTCCCAGTCAGGGCACATGCCCGGGTTGTGGGCTCGATCTCCAGGGTGGGGTGTGCAGGAGGCAGCCGATCAATGATTTTCTCTCATCATTGATGTTTCTCTCTCTCTCTCCCTCTTCCTTCCTCTCTGAAACCAATAAAAATATTTTTTTAAAAATTTAAGAAGAAACTCGCATGTAAAAAGAAACATTCCAGGTGAACAGTTAATTGGCATTTACATTCTCAATGTAGATTTTCTTAGTATATGTTATAACAACTTGCATATTGTTTGGTGTGCAACGTCTCCTTCCCAGACTGCCCTATTTAAAATAGCAGCTCCAGCCCTGGCTGGTTTGGCTCAGTGGATCGAGTGTTGGCCTGCGGACTGAAGGGTCCTGGGTTCAATTTTGGTTGCAGGCTCGATCCCCAGTGTGGGGCATGCAGGAGACAGCCAATCAATGATTCTCTCTCATCATGGATGTTTCTATCTCTC